GCTGGTTGTCACTGACCATGCCCGGGTCCTCAGATGTAGTGCTTCCACCCCACAAATCCCTTACCTTGTATACGTGCCCTATATTTTTCATCCCAGGATATATCACCTTATATTTCTCCCTGTTGAAGGCATCCTGAGCCACTCAGCCCAGCCCTCCAACTGGTCCAACAATCTTGCAATCTTGTTCTGTCCTCCTGGATGTTGGTCAACCCTCCCAATTCTGACTGAGGTTAGCCAGGCAGTTCATATTTCAGCAAGGAAGGAGGTAGAGGCCGTTCTACAGTTGGGTGTCACTGCAAAGAAGGCCCTGTTGCCCGGCCATCAAGGAATTTGTCAGGACTTCCTTTGGCACAGAAGCACCTCACTTTAACTTCATCCACCCAGAAATTTCCCAGTAAAGAATGACTAGCTAGTAAGGAAAGAGCATAGATGTGATGGAACGCTAAGCCTGTGTTCATACGTGTTAAATCTGGTTAGTGAATTAAGCCATCAATATAATGCCCTGAACATGAACTAAGCAAAACATCAAGAATTGTTGAGATGAAGGAGGCCATGGAGATCAAGCACAGGGATCCAGATAAAAGCGTTCTATTAGATGGTTATCTAGTTTGGACACATCTAATGTAGGGGAATCTACCAGCTCTCTGGATCTATGGATCTGATATCAAACTGCTCTTATTTTTGGAAGATGCCCCCCACCCCTGGCATTCAGCTGCAGTGCATACTCCTTAAATCCACTCTTCCACATCCTGCATTTGCGATGACAGAGAATAGTCCTGGCTGCCTTCTGTGCAATGGCATTTCAGGGGCTTGAAGAAATCAAAATACGCTCCTTCCCGTCAATCTTTTTTGAAGTTTAATTCTGTTTTCTAGGATATTAACAATCCCACTTGACTCTGTCATCTTCAGACTCCACTGCTTTGTTCAAGTTATTAATATAAATACTGAAGCATAAAGTCCGGGACATTCCACTGCTACCTCTCTGCCGTAGGGTCTCTCTATGATTTTTGAAGCAGCTCTATTCATTTGGTTATTATGCCTTCCAGCCCACATTTAACTAGCTTGCTAATCAGCCTGTCATGGAGGGCTTTGCCTGTCACTTTGCTGAAATCAAGTGGGCCAATTTGCTACAACAAAACCTTGTCTGGTATTAATTGGTCCCTAATTGGTTTGTTTGTTTAATGATCAGAGCTGATTACTTGGCACGATATTTTTCTCGGTATAAAAACTTCTATGATTTGTCATTAGATTAATCTATCTGTTCAGCAATGAGTTGGAAATATTTTTCTACTCCTTTTTCGAAAAACAAATGCAGTTACTGTTACTTTTATTGTGTAGAATAATGGTCATGGGACGTGTGTGTGGGTTCTCAGGACTGAACAGACAAAACCACAACTTGCAAGCACCTTCTTGCGAATCAGCTCAGAATTGTCTTTATTTGTAACTTTTCCAAGCTAGAAAAGGCATTTGTTTCTCTAAGAGCGTGACTCTTACCAGAGCTAGATAGTTCTGCAAGCAGTATTCACCTAAAGCAGATAAACAAATCCTGCAAAAGTAATGCAGAAATCCCTGGGGAAGGGGTGTCAAAATTGGCAAGCTGGAGAAAGGGTCACCATGCAAGGGGTGGGACTTGAATCACGACCCTCCATCTGTCAACTTGCTGATTTTAACATCCCCCTCCCCCGGCAGATACTGCAGCTTTGCCTAATATGTCAGCATATGCCTATTGCTATGTGGGTAGCAGAGATAATAAATCCCCCCATCGAGTTAATCAAGAACTTTAATTAAAACTTGACTGGTATCCTTTTCTGAGCAGCAGAACTTCAAGTTTCTTTGGATCTCCCCCTCTGGAACCTCCCTAAAGAGACATGATCCCACATTTTCTGCAGGCAGCCTCAAGGCCAACTCATCTTCAGTAATCTTCCACCACAGGGAACCTTCATATCTTTAGCAGCCTGGAACTGTCTAAATCCAGCTTTATTTGCCCACCATTTTCACCCCATCCTTCTCTCTCAACTGACAACCGCTCAGTTCCTTCTGGCTGCTTAGCTCACTTCAGCTTCCTCCTTGGTCTCACAGGAGACCATCTGTGCTGTGAGAAACCTTTATCTGATTTTCTCCCAGCTCAGATGATCAGTTACAAGTACAGTTTCTATGTCTGGAAGATTATGTGACAAGTTGGCCCACAGAGTTTACCTGTTCCATCACAGTAATACAATATTTCATATTTTGAAATGAACCTCTCTTTTAAACCACTGGTTTACTTTGTATCTTAGATTCCTTGCCAAAACTGGAACAAGAGAAAAGAGAAACAACTAACTATAAGTGGCAGGTCTCAACTTTTAAAAATTGCATATTATTTCTAGTGAATAAATGGGGAATTCCTGGTTCTTGTCCTTCAAGCATAATCCTGGCAGGAGCTAAAATGGATCAGCATGCATAAATACCAGAATGTATGAACAGCACCCACTTGTAAGATCAGTAGAAGACTGAGTATGTTCCTTATTTTGCATTTCTTCAGCACACAAATTGAGCAGGCAAGACATTTTGACTTTTGAGGCATATAGTCTAAATGGCACCATTCTTCAGTCCATGCATCAACCATTAATCACCACAGGGCACAATATTCTCTTGTAGAAGCTGCATCTGAATTAATGGGTGATGGTAGTAGAAATACAAGCCTTTGTTGTGGGAGAAGGCAGAATAGAAGGGGGAGAGGAAAGGGAAAGCAGGGAATCTTCTCATTGAGGTCTAGTACCTTGAAACGTTGAGCTATATGGAATTTTGCTTACCCAATAAAACTGACGCGAATGATTGTCCCCATTCACCCCAAGGAAGTTTGTATAAAAGAACCCTGCAGTACATTTGTGCCTCCACAGGTTCCTTTTCATTTCGATGGATCTTCTGGAAGAGATTTCCCAGTGTGTAGAGTCCCCACAGTCCTATTCATGAGTCTTTGTGCTATTATTCTGGAAATTGATGCCAAGAAAGGAACAGTACCTGAGTATAGCTTTTGTTGCCGTGGGGAAGAGAAAGGCGAGAAGGCTGAAGAAAAGGTTTATAGTTGACACAAACCTCCTTGGTTTTTGGCCTCCCATAAAAATGTGGAGCAGGAGGAGCCAAGCAGTGTGTAGACTGGCTCGGTTTTCTGAAAGGGGTGGAAAAACATATACGTGTGTATGGGAAATGAAATCAAAAGTCGTCAGGAAGAGATGAGAAACTCACCATGGTTGCCGACATGGTGATGTTGACACTCACCGGAAAATTGTCAGCGCCAGGATCTGTGCTTTTAGCTCTCTTCATTTTCTTCACGATTTCATTTTAGGCAGGACCCCCCAGTCCAGGCTGTCTCGCTGCAGATGTTCAAGTCTGCCCTCTTCTTGGAAATCTAGTTACAAAACAGCTTTGGGTATCATCAAGGATCGATGCCTATCACCG